AAAAAAAAAAAAAAAAAAAAAAAAAGAACATCAGTAAGCCATAAGGGCTAAATTGATAGCTGCTGTGCTCTTGATTTAGTTCTAATTTCCCCTGCCTGACTGGCACCACTACCACACGAGGCTGGTTGGCAAGAGTTTGGGGGAGTGGAATACACAAGTCTGTTATTAGCTTTTGGACAACAGTACACTGTGTTTCTGTTTGAAGTGTAATTTGTGAATAGTTTCACAGCCAGACGGTATTTTTTAATTCTGTCTGCTTAATAGCCAAACATGTCAAAGAAGACCAAGGGAATCACTGAAGAAAGAAAACAGATTTTTTTAATGAGGATTGGGAACTGCAATATTATCTTGTTTCTGCTAAAGATACGATGATTTGCTTGCTTTGTGATACTGCAATATCAACATTAAAAAAATTCAATGCTCATCAGCATTATAACACTCATAAGGACCACAAATATTTTAAATTAGAAGGAGAGGCAGGAAAGGATGTATTGCAGAAATTAAAAGATGAAAAGAAAAAGCAAAGACAATTCTTTCAAGCAGCAATAAGACCTGGAAATAATGCTACTGAAGCGACTTATAAAGTAGCTTATATGCTCAGGAAAAAAGGGAAGCCATTAAGTGATGTAGAAATTGTGAAAGAAGTTCACAATTATTGAAGTCGTAGGATGCTTAGAGCCCAATAAGGTTTCCAAGTACAAACAACTGCCTCTTTCAAGGAGAAATGTAACTGATCGGCAGCATGAATTAGCCTTTGACTTAACACAACTTCATGCAATACTTCAAAAGGAAAATATATATTACTCAACCACTTTGGATGAATCAACTGACACTACTGATTTGGCACAGGTTTTGTATTTCATTTTGGTCACAACAGATTTTCTTTCCTACAAAGAGTTACTCGCTCTGGGCACTCTTGAGAACAGAACACAGGGAATAGATATCTTCAACAACTTTCAAGATAAATGTCATGAAGTTGGACTGAATTTGGTAAATTTAGTGAGCATATGTATAGACGGTGCACCTTCTATGCCAGGAAAACATGAAGGGTTTATTCCACAGATAAAAAGAAAAGTATTAACAGACCCAGATACTCTCATTTCTTTTCATTGTATCTTGCATTAGCAAAATCTCTGTGCTAAAGCTACTATGTTAAGTGACACTTAGCAACAAGTTTTAACTATTGTTAACTACATACCTGCAAATGTAACATGGAAGTTGAGGCAGGAGGATAGCTTCCGCCCAGGAATTTGAGGTTGCAGTGAGCTATGATGACACCACTGCATTCTAGACCAGGCAACAAAGGGAGACACTGCCTCAAAAGAAAACCCAAAATGCTCCAAATACGAAATTTTTTGAGCATTCCCCACCCCTGCCACAAGTATAAAATCAGTTTTGTAACATGCTAAAGCTGAATGATGAGGTATTCAGTGTGGATTTGCCATATCATTCTAAAGTGTGTTAGTTATCGCAGGGACAGGTATTAACCAAAAATTTAACTCTGAGAGAACAGATAAATTCTATGAAGAACAGATGTGAATTATTGAAAGAAGATTTCTATAGGAATGCAGCATTTCTCTGTGATATGTCAAATCAAAATGACCCAAGTATTTCTTTGCAAGGTAAAACTAAAGCTATATATGATATGTGGTAAAAAAAAATCCAAGTATTTCAAAAAAAGCTATCTTTTTTCAAAACACTTCTTCAAAAGGAAATTTGAGACGAATATTTTCCCTAGTTAGCAAAGGTCACTGATGAGCAAGATGATATATGCAAATCATTTGAAGAATACACAGCTGTTATAGACTGATTAACTGGAGAATACAATGAAAGATTCACTGAGTTTAAGAATCATGAGATCACACTCAAATTAGCATTTTCAGCCTCATCTTGTTGATATCGGCAAGGTACCTAAAGAAGCAGAGATGGAATTGATTGAGCTCTCAGTAGATGACATTTTAAAGTCATCGTTTGATGCTAAGAAAGATCCAATTAAAATACGGAAAAATGCAGAATACCCACACCTTCAGCAACATGCCTGAAAAATGCTTTCTTGCTTCTCAACCACTTATTGCTGCAAATCTACATTCTCCTACCTAACCCAAATCAAGATACCCTTAAGATTACAAATGACTATTACCCATCTAGAGGATCAACTGAAACTGCAGACATTCATGCTGCAATCAAATATTCAAATGCTAGTAAAAAGCAGACACAACAAAGTCATTAAAGGGTTAGCTAACTTTAAAATTAACAAATAGTTTTCATTTTTTGAAATAAGTACATAGTAGATTTTTACAAAATAGTGTATATTTTTAAATGTATTTAAGTGTATTGAAGTTTTTTGAATGCGGCCTTATTTGGTTACAGAAAATTAATGAGGTCTTCCAACATGAAAATGTTCCCCACCCCTGCCCAAGGCAGAGGAACATACTGAAATATACATGAGTATGTTATCAGCAAAATCCAAACTGCAGGAAATACACAGGTCGAATGACCCCAGTTCTTAATCAGATAAATTGTAAGGACAAGAAATGGAGAGAAAACCTATAGATTAAGAATTTAAAATTTTTTTAATACACAAGACTGTATCATAGGGTGTAAGACTATACATTTATGATAAAAATTCTTTAAAAATACAGGGAAGAGAATACTATAAAATCCAGAAGAATGTCAACTAAATGGGAGCCTAGGAGTTGTGACTGGGATAGGACAAGGAGGGACTCTGACATACCTGGGTGGTATTGTCTTATAATAATTCATTAAGCATACATTTGGTATGTGTGTTTTATTTTATTTGATGATAAATTCATTTTACAATGAAAAGGTTTTGTTAAATAGTAAAAAATCAAAAGTGAAGGAAATACCAAAAAAGGCTAGTACAAGTTGAGCATCCCTAATCTAAAAATCAAGGCTGGCTGTGTGGCTCACACCTGTAATCCTAGCACTCTGGGCGGCCGAGGCAGGAAGATCCTTTGAGGCCAGGAGTTCAAGACCAGCCTGAGCAACATAGTGAGATCTTATTTCTACAGAAAATAAAAACATTAGCTGGGCATGGTAGTGCGTGCCTGTAGTCCCAGCTACTCAGGAGGCTGAGGCAGCAGGATTGCTTGAGCCCAAGAGTTTGAGATTGCAGTGAGCTATGATGACACCACCACATTCCAGACCAGGCAACAGAGGGAGACACTGCCTCAAAAAAAAAAAAAAATCCAAAATATGAAACTTTTTGAACATTGACATAATGCCACAAGTACAAAATTCCACACCTGATCTCATGTGACAGGTCATAGTCAAAACTTTGTTTTATGCACAGAATTATTAAAAACATTATATAAAATTATCTTTAGGCTATGTGTATATGAAACAGATAAATTTTGTGTTTAGACTTGGGTCCCATCCCCAAGATAACTATTATAACGATGTATATGCATATATTCCAAAATCAAAAAAATCCAAAATCTGAAACACTCTGGTTCCAAGCATTTTGGATAAGGGATACTCAACCTGTACAGCTCTGCAGTTAGACTGCCTGGGTTTGAATCATGGATTCTGTCACATGGCCAGGATAGTACTAATCTCTCTGTGCTTCAATTTCCTCATCACAAAATGAGGATAATAAAAGATCTTAGCTCACAGAGTTATGGTGATGATTAGCAGAGTTAATATAGAGAGAATATACGGCACACAGAAGGACAGAAGCAGTGATTAGAGCTATCTGTGTTATTTTAAGTAGTTACTTAACCTTTCTGAGCTTTAGTTTCCTTACTGAGTTTAAAATACCTATAGGATTATCAGGAGGTCAAAAGGGAATATATATAATGTACCTAGTATAGTATGCAATAAATATTAGGTTCTTTCCACGGCCTCCCAACATCTATAGTCATCTGTCACATTAGACATACCTCAGTCATAGCATATACTCTTGCACTTTACACCTGGTCATTCAAGTTGATCTCAATGAAATGATCACTCAATGAGTCTCCTGTCCCACACTGGATCTTCATCTAGGTTTCAAAAAGATAAACAGACCAAAATCTTGAAATGTTCAACCTCTGAGTAAAAATGATCTTGTGTTAGTCCTCGAGCAGGCACCTGTGGTACTGGTTATCTCTGAAAAAAAGCAGGAGCAACTGAAGTAGCTGCTATTGGCCTCTACTGCTCACCATCAAATACCTCCTCCCTTCTCTTCTTTCCCCTTATCTTTCCTCTCCCCTGTTTAGTTGAAACTTTTAGCTGGGTATCCAAATCTAACAACATCTCTCATCAATTCTGGCTTCAAAGATAGGATATTCTCATTTGCTAGGGTACTAAAACGAAGCAGTCTCAAACTACCACTGATCACAAAAGCAAAAGCAGGAAGAAACTACTCATTTGCACCTGTGATCAAGCCCGCCTTTTCAGAGGTCCTGTGAAAAGTGCCAACAGTTTCAGCAGCATTTTCCCGGCTACAGGCTGTGACAGGACACAGCAACTTTGAAAATCACAGGAAAGACCAAATGCTTCCTAGGGCTAGCACAGAAGCTATATCGCTTTAATTAGCGTCACACGCATGCACTTAAAGTAACACTGTGGGAGTGGGGTTGGTGGGTAGGAGTTGGTTTGTACATGGCATAGAAAGCCAAGCCGAGAAAAGCAAAACCACAATTGTATCTTCTGGCACTTTCCAGATTTCCCAAGAGTCTTTCAATCAAATTGCCCTTTATAGGTCTGAAGCCCCCGTAATATGCACCATACATTAAAATTCAATTATTTTTAACTACTATTGGGGGGCAAGCTGGAAATAAACTATGGCCAGTAACTACTCTTTCTCAAGTGAGTCACATCAAAAACTAAGCTTTCTCGAAAAGTATATATTTCAAATTACTGTAATATATGAACACGTAATGCTTTCCAAGTCTCTATTCTTTATTAAAGCAAAAGCTCTATTCTAAAAATATGCCAACTTGTTATCTAATGTTCCTAAGAAAGAACTGAATCTACCACAAATAAGAAAAGCTTTATACTTACAGCCTCATTTAGCCCTCACAAGAACCACCAGCTTTATTAAACAAAGAAACTGAGGCCCTGAGCCGTTAAATGAGAAGCAAAAGAGCACAAAGGCTGGGAGCCAACCAGGTCTGTCCGACCCCCAAACCTTACACAGGGATTTTTAATTAGCGCGAACCTGTCCTAGGCGGCTGCTTCTGCGGACCCTGACAAAAAGCACTCTGAGTCTTTCCAGGGCCCAGGCGAGGCCAAGTCCTGGAGCTACTCCAGGAAGGGGCTCTAGCCAATGACCCTGTGAGCCCGGAGCGCCACTCACCTTCCTCAGACGCCGCCTCCCACCAGCAGCCCGCCCAGCCCGGCCCGGCTCAGCTCGAGCCCCGCCTCCGCGACCGTTACAGCAGCTGAGGGAGGTTGGCTAATCGAGCCCGAGCGCGTCGAGGGCCAGCCCCTGCTCTGCCTCCGAACGTCCCAAGCGATTCTCTCCGGTTGCACGGGGAGGCTGAGAGCGCCCCGCGCCCTCTGGTTGGCTCCGCTTCTGGGGGCGGGGCTTAGCACCAAGGCAGGCGTCAGCACGCTAGCTAGTCGTAGGGGCGCTCTGCCCTTGTAGGTGCTCTGTCGCTTTACAGGCAGTCTCATTTACCTGGAAAACATCAGAAATACATATTTGTGGCCGTACGTGAAAATGACCATCGACTGCCCTCTTTACAACCCTCTCCTCCACCATGACTGAGGGCTCTTGCTGGAGACCAGTCAGCATGTTCTTGTATGTTCCAGACCTGGCTGAGCGCTACAGCGGCTGGCATTTAGAAGACCCAAAAAGTGTGTGTTGATGACATTTCACCCTCCCATTCAGCATTTTCCACACCTACAAAGTGTCAGGCCCTACATCGGACTTCAGAAATGCAAAGATGGCTAAAGATGCTCAAAGTCTAGTTAGGGAGATAGGTATACGCTCTGAACTTGATTCAGTGTGATAGGTGTGATCAGAGCAGGATGTGCAGGGCGCAGAAGGAAAAGGAGGATTACCTCAGGCTGTCATTGAAGTCTTCTAGGCCCGTGGGGCGCAACCCTGCACATTAGAGTCACCTGCGGAGCTCTGAAAGCTCTTGATGGGTACAAGTTTGTAAGGCTCCCCAGGTGATTCCAATGTGCAGCCAAGATGGAAGGCTACAAACCTCTCTAGTTATCTCTCTAGATAACTTAAGAATGATTCTGAACTGTAAGTAAGTTCAGCAATACAGGGAAGAAAGGTATTTAGAGAATATTCCTTGTGCAAATTAAATAAGGTAACGACTCCAAAGCACTTTAGTATAATGCCTCGTTAACAAATGCTCAGTAAACTATTTTAAAAATTATTTTTGCTGTAATTAAACCTGTGCCCTTTGGGTAGAGTTCATATCTGCCCCTCCCCCGATACCACAGGCCTAACACCCAAAGCATTAACGAATATAATGGAACTTACCAAAGGCTTCCTGAGGAATCTGAGGAGCGTGTGGCATCATCAGAGAGGCAGAGAGAGAAAGGCTTTAGGAGATGTGCTAAGGTGCTGGGACTTTAACTAGGAGGAGCTGGGAAACCATTAGCAGATTTTCAAAAGGAGTATAAAATGTAAATATTTTTGCTTTGGCATCTTCAAGCTTAATTTGCTTGCACCCTGATACACAGGTTTAAAAAAAAAATGGTTCCACGGTATACAAATACGATCACTGCTCTTTTTTTTCTACAAAAGGAAATCAACTCAGTCTTCTATTTCTCAGCTTAATTCATTTGAAATCTAAAACTAGGATACCTTCCCACCATTTTCAAAAAACTTACAGGGGGTTAAGTGATCCAAAATTCCTAAAGGAAAATCCACCTTCCACACATCTGACAGGAAGGCCTGGAGTCTGAGCTGTCTACTATCCCCATTGCATCTCACAGCCACATGGTGTCGCTGTTGACAACCTGTCTTTTCCAATTGGTCAAATGATGCAGGTCTGTGGTGGAAGCAGGTCCCACAATGGCCAACAGGGATCTCCCAAAGAGGGCATGAGCCAAGGTGTCTCCCAGGAAAAGATCCAATGGCATAGCTCTTGGCCCTCAATATATTCAAATCCATACTCAGCCTTCTTCCAGGCAGCTGGGGTGACTGAGTTTTTCTGTGTCTGCGCCATGCAAACATATCCCCACTCCACCCCTATCCCCTTCCCTTCCCATACCTAGGTATTCACACTAACAACGTTTGGCAAATTTTCATTTTCAACTCTCAAAACACAAACAGTCTCAGTGCTTGCCTTTTTCTGGACAATAGGGTGACTTTCCCACTCTTCCGAGTGTGGCTAGAGGCCAGGTATCTTTGGGTCAATTAGGATTATTGTGGTTGCAAGTAACATAAAACCTGAGTCAAACTGTCTTCTTAAACAATAAGGAAGTTGATTATCTCACATAACAGAAAGCCCACAGGCAGGGTAGACTTTGAAATTGGGTAATTCAGTGGTTCAACAATTTACCAAGAACCTGGTTGCTATTACTTTCTGCTTTGCTGTAGTAAACACAGCAGGCTTCAAATTCATTCTAAAGTGATTTTACAGATGCCTACTAGGAGAAAAAGAGACCACATACTTTCTTTTCCACCTAAAACTTTCTGAGTTTTGTTTGCTTGTTTTTGTTCTGTTTTTGTAGAGAGAAAGTCTCCCTATGTTGCCCAGGCTGGTTTCGAACCCTGGCCTCAAGCAATCCTCCTGCTTCCACCTCCCAAAGTGCTGGGATTATAGGCATAAGCCACCACACCTGGCCCCTTCTGGTTTTTTGAGCCAATTAGGTCCCACAGGCACACACTCTGTCTCCAGATCAGTAACCGCCTAGGAAAGGTGCAGACAACTTAAACCTGGGTTCCAGAAGGGAAAAGGAGTTACCACAGTTGGAACTGGCAGTAAGGTTCGTGCTCCTTGAGTCACATGAGTTGCAAGATGGACGCATGGCTACTTGAATAAAACTGGAGTCCTGTAAGAGGGAAGAGGAAAATGGATGCTAGATGGATGATCACCAGTACCCTTCACAAACTTCAAAGTACAAGAAGGCTGATTATTTTCTACTTCTTAATAATAAAATCTTCCACCCATGAGCTCCTAGATTTTCTGTGTGGTGAGTGGAGAGGAGGCGGCTCTATCATACTGCCCTCCAAAGGAATTTCCTGCTTAGAGACCACCAAAGCCTTTCCAGCACCTCTTTGCTAGAGAAGGAAAGACTCGGCACACAAATTTAGTCTTTAGCTCAGAATCCTGCTACATTGGTCTCAAGAGTTTTCTATGGGCTTCATCTATTACCAGAATTCTAATGGTTCTAAACATTCATCTTTTATTCATTAATTTATAAAAATATATTATGCACCTGTTATATACCAGGGATTGAACTAGATGCTGAGTTTACAGTGATAAATAAACCAAAGTTCCCGCCCTTGTGGAGCTATAATCTAGTCAGGAAAATAATATGAAACAAACACAAATAAGTATATAATTATGCTAAGTGCTATGAAAGAAGAGAAGGGGGAGAGGGGAGGAAGCCTCTCTGAGGAAGTGACATTAAGCTGAGAACCAAAGCATGTCTTCATTTCAGCTTTCTGCTTTCCTCTCTGCTTTGACCTTCCACTATAAATTACAGCCTTCATTAGCAATTAAAACAGATCTTTTTTCAACTGCTAAACTGATTCTCAAATTTTCTCCTCAGTATCAGATTTCTCCCTAAAACAAAGAGTATACCAAACATAAATGGTATTTCATGATGAATTCTTGAAGGTTCTTCAACTCGCTAGTCTTTTGGATTTAGAATCCTTTATTACACTAATATTTGTTTTTGCCTCCTCCACAAGAATTTGAATTCCCGGGGGCATGAACCACATCTTACTCAACTTTATCTAGCACCTAGCATAGTCCCTTAACAAACAGTAGGTGCTCAACCCAGTGCTCAATTGTACTGTTAAATATGAGTCAGATTTATACAGGGAACATTCACCTTCAGTAGCCATTTTCCAATGTGAAGGACAATACACAAACAGCTTAGGCAAATATATTAAGTACAAATGCTCAAGAATCTATACAGAGTAACAATAATTATATTAATTGAGCACTTAAAATGTGTCAGGCTCTGTGCTAAGCACTTTCATTTTCTAACTTGTTAAATTCTCACAACAACCTTAATGTAAGTACTATTATCTCTATTTCACAAATGAGCAAATTAGACAATAGAAGCCCCCCCAAAAAACAATTAAAAAATGACTTGCCAAGGTCACATACTAGTACGCGGCAGATCCAGGATCTGAACCCAGGCATTCAGGCTCAAAAACCCATGTCATTAACCACTTGGCAATACCACTTCTTGTGATGGGCATCTGCTCTACCATCAGACTGGTGCATGAATTTATTACAATTTGCAATTATTTCATCCATCTATTAGTTATCAATTGATGTATAACAAATTATCCAAAAACATAATAGCTTAAAATAAATATTTATTATCTCAAAATATCTGTGGGTCAGGAATACACAGGGGATTAGCAGGATGTCTGGACAAGATCTTTCACAGGCTTGCAGTCAACTTGTTGGCCCAGGCTAGAGTCATGTCAAGGTGTAACTGGGGTTAAAGGATTCACATCTAAACTCACTCCGGCCTCTCCCCAGGCTCTCTTAGTGTCCTTACAACATGGCAGCTTCCCACAGAGTGCACAGCCCAAGAGAGTATGCAAACAGCTAAGAAAGAAACTGCAGTCTTTTTCATAACCTAATCTCAGAATTTATATATCATTACTTCTATTATATGCTATTGGTCACACAAACCAACCCTGGTAAAATGTGGGAGAGGACTATACAAGGATGTGAATACCAGGAAATGGGGGTCATTGGGCCTATTTTGGAGAATGGCTATCAGTCTGCTCATTTTTTGTGACTGCCTCCTCCACTAGAATGTAAACTTCATGAGTGGGGAGAAATGATCAGTGCTGTTCACTGTTGTATTTCCTGCCATAGCGCCTGCCATATAATAGATGGTCAATAAATATTGAGTAAATATTAATATAATGATGAAAATGGTATGAATTCCATAGGATGAGCTCCCTATAATCCTCTCTTACTTTCAGACAAATTCCCAGTTGCCATTCATGGTACCATTTAAATAATTTTTTTTCAGAGACAAGGTCTTGCCATGTTGCCCAGGCTAGACTCAAACTCCTGGGCTCAACTGATCCTTTGGCCTCAGCCTCCTGAGTAGCTGAGGCTACAGGTGCAGACCACCATGCCTGGCCAATTAATTTTTAAAAACAAGAACATTTACTCATGTGTATAAAGTTATAGAATGTGGACTTCCCACACACACCAAACTCATGGGAATGCTGACCTTTAGGGAAGAGAAGAGAGTAATAGTATTGAGGTTTTCTTCCAGAGACAGGGTCTTACTCTGTCACCCAGGCTGCAGTGTAATGGCTCAATCATAACTCACTGCAGTCCTGAACTC